AGTTACAACTTGAAAAGAAGATACCAGGCTTGGCATGACTATTCATGCAGTGCTTATTTATACAGAAGAAGGTGGAAGTCTTTCTTCTACTGCTTCCTAATTATTTTATCTGCTTCCACTTAAGATCATCTCCACCAGTTTTGGCAGAAGAAAAGCAGGGTGTGATAAGGAGTAAAACTGCAGATCCCTTTATATGAAAGAGGTTTCTGAGGTGCTCAATTACTGCATAAAATCTGCTCCTATATTTCAAAACAAGAAAGAAAAAGAAAAATGTAGAAGTATTAAAAATATTTGAGCCTTAAAAACACATATTCGAATAATGTCTCTGGAACTTGTTTTGATCCATCATCAGAAAACCGGCACAGAAACCTTTCAACTAATAGGAACAGAAAAACACATCAGGAAACACATAGTGTATGTTCATCAGACTCCTGTGATGTTATCTTTACTTGTATCACAAAAATACACAGTATCTCCAAGCAGTAGCAGGAAGCCTATGTCTTGGCTTCCGTGGCCCACGCCCTTCCCTGGGAGGATGCAAATGGCAGGAGCTTGCTTCCAGCTTCAAGCTGGACAAAATCCCATGACCTCTCCAGGCCTTTAGAGTGGAAGAAAGGCATGAATCTTGGAAACAAAAGTTATATGGAAAAACTGCACCTTTGTCACTGAATATGTACAACTTCAACAGCCTACACCTGCAAAGCATCATTCAGAAAGCAGTGAATAATAATAGTTCATACTTTTTTAACTTTTAACTTCTAAACAGGTGCATTCATGCACTGTGCACACTGATTCCAATGATCTCTCCTTGTGCCTCTTGCCACTGAGAGAGTGATGAATACATTCTTCTGTTCCATATTTTGCCTCTAATAACAGCAGCTGCCAGTCAATATGCATTGTACAGAGTACAAAAATGACACCAGTGCTTATTTAAATTTCTCTTGCATTCAACAGTGTAGTAGTCCCTCATACAGATATTCCTGCCTCATAGCAACATAGGCAAAATGCATGAGCTTAAGTCTGCTCAGAAAGTACCAACGACTGTGGAGAAATGTGCAACTAGTTATGGAGCTATACTATTTTGAAAATAAGCCTGGAAGGACCTTCTATCACATTCAGTAAAGTGTGCAGGTCCAGCAGCAGACAAAACAAAGTCTGTTCTTAACCTATGGCCAAGAAACCACACTGATTTTGAATCAGTGCCAAAGGAGCCAAATATTTACTCAGAGATACATCCACAGTAGAAAGGTTTTGTACTAATAAGGACCAGTTGTAAAATAAGCACTATAAATGGAGATACAAGATAGACAAATTGAATGTATTTCTGATTTTTTGCTTTTTCAGCTTGGTTTACTATGTTTATGTGAAAAGAAATCCAGGAAAGGATGGAAGAAAAAAGAGGGAAGGGAAGAATAGGTAAGAGAAGGAGTCTGAGGAACAAAGTTTCATATCAAAGTGATATTTTCTGGCTATGATGAATTATCCAATAAAATTTCATTTTATCATTGGATAAATGCAAAAATGTGGCTTGCTTGCTTGTGAAATTCAAACAACTTTGTTTCTTTTTAGTGGAAATCTGGAAATGCTGACATGAGTCTGATCCATCTATACTTTCCCTCTATTCCTATGTTTGTTTTTTCTAGTGCAGCAAAAAAACATGAAAAGCCTTCCTAATTTTTTAATAGGACAACACAACATTTCTTCTTTTCAGTGAAATTCTGAAATATAGTTTTGAGTACTTTACAAACAAGAATTTCAGATATTAAATACTCAGTTTTGAAATCCAAAATAAAACTCTTCAAAATTCTCTATGCCTATTCATGCCCTCTCATTCTGGAGGAAAAAAAATAAATAAATAAAAGAAGAAGAAAAGAAGAAAAAGGAAAAAATTCAAACCAACACAGGAAAGAATTTCCTTCACTCTAGCTAAATCTGTAATATTTTGCAGGTACTATAAACAGGATACTTCTATACTGATGGAAGAGGGTGTTGAATAGGTATGTATAGCTAGAGGGGACTGAATCCATTTGAAAAGTAAAAATAATGAATGGAAAAAAGTCATACTGAATATCAGGTAATACTGCACGTCTCTTTCTTATGATATATCCACACAGTGCAGGGTTCAAAGTAAACTGACCTACAACCTTTATTCTCATGGTGTTGACCGCTCTGTGTCACAATGACAATCATGCTCAAAGTGAAATAATTAACTGCAAATTAATGAAGGCTCACTCCTCGTCACTCTGATGAGAATCAGTCAATTATGTTTACATGAATGATGAAGATTGGGATTCCTATTTCTCTTATGAGATCTCAGAATCCACTTTTAGAAATAGAGGCCTTCCCTTATTTTCATATTTGGCGAAGCCAGAGTGATTTAATTAAACTAATGGAGTTGAACCTAGTGGAGTACTGATGCAATAACTCGGTGTGTGAAATCTGGTCATGCATTTCTAAATTTTGGGTAATGTCCAAAGAACCAGAACAACACACAGAAAACAGCATGCTCAGAAATAGACATAACGCTTTTTGAAAAATATGCACTAAGATGTAGAAGCATTTCTTTCAGCTAAGCAGAATTGACCCAAACTGTCCAGGTACAACTAATAAGGCATCAAAGGTAATATTTACTATGACTGTCCATTCAACATAATTTTGCAACTACTTCCATGTACATTGTTTTAGATGTATGTGCATCTCTCTGTATGTGGCTACACAGCACAATGTCATACTTAGGTTATTCTTCTGACATATACAGAGTGCATAAAGATGTTTAGGTACAATATACATGCTACATGATATACATCTGAATAAGCCATTAAATAAATAGCACTTTCCTTATTGCTTTACTGTGTTATTTGTACTCCTTCCATTATATTATCCCTGTTGGGTTAACTGAAACTCTCTGATCATTTTAGTATTTAAAATTAATCCAAACATCTGCAAGCACATATTGGAATGCATCTGTAAATAACTACAGCAATCTTTCTTTAAGAAAAAAAAACAAAAAAGAAAATAAATAATCTATATTGTAATATAATATGTATTTCAAATGCAGCAGGGGTGGTGAAAAGTAGACAATGTCCTGAATACCAGTTAATAAGTTTGCCAGCTAGGACTGTAAAGATCTATCAGTGACATCAAATACTGTGCTGATGGAGCCAATACACAGGGTGTAAAATTGTGGTGCCAAAGGGTATGAAATAGAACTAAAAATTTGCAGCTCTAGACATTCTATTCATATCAATTTGTTTCCAACAAATGGCATGACTGAATTAGTTATCCTATGCATGCTCATGCTAAAAGATGAAATGCAAAAATGCCCAATTAACAGAATTGCAAAATTTAGTATTTTGCTCTCTATGTCTATAGAAATAGAGAAGTTGACAGCCTACAGGTGATCTATGCCTGATAGAAAGGGAGAAACTCACTTTTAATTCTCTGAAAATCTGAACGTCGTGTATGACTTAGTTAAACTTCCCACTGGGAGTGGTTGCGTATCACAGGAGTGCAGTTAATGGACCAGAAAAGACAGCCATTGTCAAACTCAACACACATCTGTTCGTAAGCTTTAGTTAACAAAAAGTAATATAGACCACTTCAACCTGCTCCCAGAAGAAAGTGCAGTGGTATTTGCACGGGTAAATAAATAAAAGACTAAAGGAAGATATATATGTATATATATGTAAAGGATACTGCTTCAGTTCCTTCTGATCAGTCTTATACATCCTTAAGAAGAAAGTATCAGTCTCAACATTAACACTGCTGGAGCTAGTAACATGCCCTTAGAGCAGTTTAACTTGGCATGGGGATTTTTCGAAAGGGAAGAAAGCCTGAGAGTAAGACAAGCTTGTAAAATATGTTATGAAAAGAACCTAGGAACCATGTGGAGGAGAATTAGATTTTGGAATCTCAAATATAAAATGGAATAGAGGTGCATAAAATGCTTAAGTGGGCAAGTGTAATGCAGTTTATAAGTGGTTTAACGTAATACTACATGACTATCCATACTCTGTATGTGGTAGCATGATGATGTCCAGATACTCAAATTTACTGATGGTGCTGATCAGGAAAAAAAGACCAAAAAATCCTTTTGCTTTGATGTTTGTATTCCATACAGACAAACTGAGTGCACTTAAAGAGTTTCATTCACTTCTTACATACACAAAGGTGACGAGCCAAGATGTTTTTAAGATTTTCTTACAGAAGAAGTAAGGAAATATAATAATCAATACAACCAAAAAATAAGAAAGCGAAGTTGTACATGACTGAAGAAGGTCATTAACTGCCTAAGAACAATGGTGTGGGCATTCTCACAAAACTGCTGTATCTCTGGAGGCCGCTTATTGTTCAGCTTATTTAGATCCAGATCTTCAGACCCTGGGAACTGCTCAGATCTGCACGTTTATTCTGTGAACAATGATTGACTGATCTGCAGTTTAAATTCTAGGAAGTGCGTTCTGCTGTGGTAGGATGGAGCCCCTCGACACCTACTCCGGGACCTCTGGATCAGGCATTTCTCACATAATTTTTTGGTTCAGAAGCAATAAACTGTCATACACTTTTGCATTGGGAAAGCCAAATTATTACAGTGAGTTTCACTGTCTTAAAACTGTTCAGTGGCTGACAGTGACTGGGCCTATTCCGCAAAGCTTTGTTCAGACAATCCAGTGGCTCCTGTCTGGCTATCTCCTCTCATTTTCTGATCCTCTTCATATGGAGTCTAATCTTGTATTATTGCAGTTAATGAGAATGATGCCTGGCCTCTGAAAAGCCAGCTTTTCATGTAAGGAATGTTAATGGGACTGAGCTGTTTGTCTGCCCTCAGAATGACGTTTTCTATCTTACTTTTCCTGAAAACAATTGCAGTATTCTATCATTTGTACTTAAAAAAAAGTAGTGCTGTGTTAGATTGTACCTTTGGGTTTTGCATCATTCTTCTTCTGAAAGCTATCATGTGCGCTTGTGTTCATAAATAATATATCCACTTGTGCATATAATTACAATTTGTGTGTGTGCATGGTTTTAATGCAAACACATATACATAAAGGATACAACTTAATTTGATCCCCTCTGTACTTGCAACACAGACAAATTCTTAATATTTTATAGTGCATATTCCGTTAAATAAATAACAAAATTGATCTGTGCTACAACGTGTATACGTACACAATTTATAATGCCTGTAGTAACATTTTAAAGCCTGTTCACACATCAAAATACAGGTTGTTTATTTCTACCTTAAAACAATCTGAGGGTTTAGCTCTTCCTATTCTGTAAACAGTGGTGACAGCTGCTTTCAAAGAAGCTTAACTTCATTAAAATATAAGTTTCCCATTGTAAAATCAATACTAATATACCATAAATCCCCCTGATGAACTCTGGCTTCCTTACATGCTCTCTCTCATTTTGTGTGTTAGGGGCACAGCACTACTCTAAATATCAGAAGATAATAATATGGCAAGATATAGATATAGATATATACTTAAATGTTAAAACATTCGTTAGGTCAACTTGAGTAATGAATATATTTCAAATATATGCTTCTTTCTATAAACAAATATATTTAATTTTCTTTGTAAGGTGGGTGCCTTGCAAGTTCTATATGTCTACTAAACTCATAAACCAATCCTGGGCATCTTTATCTCAAAATGCACTCGTGACATATAGCTGAAGCTTTAACTTTTTTGTTTTTTTTTTAACTAAACTTGCACTTGAAGTAAACTTACAATGTAATTTACAAGCTTACTTTTAGGTAGACATTTTAAACAATTCATACAAAAGAAAGATTTGTATGTCAAGAGTATTTGTTTTAGTGACAAGAAAGCTAGGTATACTCTATTCATTTCTCAAGCAGACCTTTATGAATCACTTTAAAAGGACATTACAGCTGAAGACTGAAGAGCAATATTTATCAACATTAAATAAAACATTTGGTGAAGTATGTATAAATATTTCTTCATATGAACATAACACAAAATTAAATAGTTCAGATACACAGACACCATTTAATATATTTCCACTGTTGTCAAAATCATCTGTAAACACCATCTCACACTGAATACAAAAGCAGCTTTTACATCAGTTCTGTGTTCACAACACTGATGCCCCTTTATAAAATAAATTTGTTTTATTTTCAGAAAAAAAAAAAAAAAAAAAAGTGTAAGCAATAAAAAAAGTTTTGGTCAGTTCAAAGACAATACAAAATTATCTTTCAACATGTAAATAAATCAGATTTAGAACAGTTTAAAGTACAATCCTTTCCCTGGGGGACCTCTGACTTCTATAAATCACACTGTTCAGTGCAGACCACATCACAAATGCCAGGAAATACTGGTCATGTCTAAGCTAGAAATATGAAAGCCCTTTAAAAATTTTCTTTATTAAAAATTACCAAATGGCAATATCCACATTTTCTGAAACACCAAGTAACATGGCAATAAACAGAATTAGGTATACTTAAAAGAGATTCTGGAAAAGAAACACTTTAAAATGAGTGTCCTTCACATGCAAAAACAAATTATTTCTTTTACACACAGCTTTCACATCTGAAGATCACCTGGGTTGAGCATGAAATGGGCCTGCTGATCATGTCTGCACCCATCTGACCACTGAGCCTTTGAGCACTGATAGCTCAGATGTGAGCTCTCACCATTCCACACTCTACAAAGATAAACACGTGCTCTGCCCGGCATGTGACCATCAATTCCTTTCACCTTCATATTCTTTAAAGAGATGTAATCTCATGCGGGGAGAGATACCGTGCTCACAGCAAAGGTTACACTGGGCATACGCCCCATTATAAAACTCTGTAGACAGGCTCACAGGCAACGCTTTTGTTCTCTCCATTTGTTTCGGCTGGAGAGACAAACCTGAATTTCAGGTGGTGAACAATGAGATAAATATTTATAATACAATTTTCTAATATATATATTTTAATTTCACTCACATGCAAGAGTGATGTGGGGCCCTGAAAAAACTAGACCAATAGATTACCTTCTTCCTGGTATGTGTGTATTTTAGAGATGTGAATGTATTTTTTGCATACATACACACTCACACACACACATATATATATAACATGAGCTGCACACATGAGCTGCACACTTGGCGACCAGGAATCAGGGGTACAATTAATAATAATACACCAAAAGAGAAGTAGACAGGAAGCTCTACCTTGACAACAAGAAGCAATTTTGCAACCTATACAGTGTCTCAAATAATTTCATAATCCTGTTTTGCTGGCTTGCTACATCTGCAAGTGACTTGAATTGAAAACTGTTGGATTCCTTGGAATCAGAAGAGTTGGGCTAGCTAGATGTGCTTACCTGAGATCCCAGAGTTGATTACAATCAAAGAGCTGGGCAGATCAGTAACGGGTTTACAATTGCTATACAGCTTCTTTCAAATTTGTACGAAAACTTTATTAAGTCTTTCATTCTTTAGTAAAAACGTTGAAGTTTGTTAGTTTTTGCTGAATGCAGACTTCATTTTTATATTAAACCAGATTTATTAAAAGGATACATATGCCCGGCAGCTGCTTTCATGTCCTGATGTTTAAATGTTTGAATCAGCACCCTGGAACCACCCTCCCACCCCATCCCGTCCTGTCCCATTCCAGCCCCTCCCAATCTCATCCCATCCTATCCTACCCCATCCCTTCCAAACCTATCTAATCCTGTCCCATCCCATTCTCCATTATTTTTTCAGTTGTTTAAAAAATACTATTCTATGAAGCCTCCCTAGGGATCCGCTTATGAAAAATGACAGACTGCCTTTGCTGATACTGCTGTTTGCGTCTTTTTCGTTTGTCACACTGGCACAGCAGTAACATCTTGAAAGTATTTCTGAACATTTTGTTACACAGTGCATAGCACACCGGGTTCACTGTGCTGTTGATGTAGCAAAGCCAGTACCCCAGGTTCCACACAGTTTTGGGGACACAGTTGCAAAAGGTGTTCACCAGAACCATGATGTTATAAGGAGTCCAGGTAATGATAAAGGCAAACAAAATGGCACTGAGTGTCTGTGCTGCTTTCTTTTCTTTGATAAGTGACATTCGTTTTCGCTTCGTGATTTGACTTCTGGTCTTCAAAGCAAATTTTTTTGCCAGAGTTGCTTCCTTGAAGGACAAAGGCAGGGCTGCAGATGTCTTGGTCATTGATGAGATGCCATCAGAAGCTGTAGCTGTCTCTGCTGACCCTGGCTGAATTGGAAGCTTTGAAAAACTCTTCTGGAAACTTCCACCATCCTGAATACTTCTGGGAGGTTGCAGTTTTTTAGGTTTCTTTTCCTGTGAGTCCGTGTCGGATTTCTGCAGTTCATCTGCTGACTCATTCAGATCTTCCGAGGAGGGCAACTTTGTGGAATTGAGGATGGCACTGTGACCAGGAAGCTTCAGCACGATTGAATAGATAGCTCTGGTCTCTGCTGTGATGTCCTCTTCATCAGATGAGGCTGAATTTTCAAGGGAGGCAGCAGCATCATTGTTGTTCCAGCTGTCACTGCTGCTGTGCTCTTGATCCCCCTGGTCTGTGTTGGGTTCCCAGCTCTTCATTGTGAGCCAGAAGTGGCAGCGCCTGTACTTCTTACGACTGGAGCGCTTTGTGCTCTGCCGTTGCAGCTTATAGCTGCTGCAGCTCCGGGAGCTGCCAGTCTGGTGTACAAAGCGTGCTGTCTCTGCCTCACTGCCTGAAGCCTGTAGTCCCGCTAACTCTTTGGTGCGTTTCTCAGTCTCCTTGTAAATCCTCCAATACAAAATACTCATAATAGTGACTGGCAAATAAAAGGCAGCTATGGCAGTGCCAAAAGTGATGATAGGTTCACTTAGAAACTGGATGAAACATTCATCAGGAGGCACAGTCCTCTTCCCAACGAAATACTGCCAGAACAAGATGGCAGGGGCCCAAAGAACAAAAGAGATGACCCATGCTAAACCAATCATTACGCCAGCCCTTTTAGTTGTTCGTTTGGCTCTGTATGTAAGCGGCCTAGTGATGGAAAAATACCTGTCAAAACTTATGACAAGGAGATTCATGACAGAGGCATTAGAGGCAACATAGTCAATGGAGAGCCAAAGATCACAGGCCAAGTTTCCCAAAGCCCAGTGGCCCATAATAATGTATGTGGTGAAAAGATTCATGGAAATAACACCGATGATCAAATCTGCACAAGCAAGACTCAACAAGAAGTAGTTGTTGACTGTTTTCAGTTGTTTGTTAACCTTAAATGAGACAATCACTAGGATGTTTCCTATGATGGTCACTAGTGCAACGATCCCAGTGAGGAAAGCAATCAAAACTACTTGCCAGACAGTGTGTCCACCCAGAGGGTCTTTGATTGTGGCATTTAGGGATGTGTTTGTTGATTCCACAGTGGAGAAGGGAAAGCTCTCTGTGGTCTGAGGAAAATCATAGCTGCCAATAAGCGATGCTCCTTCATCAAGTAGTCCTGGTCCATGGGAATCTCTCTTCCAGAAGGAGCTCACATTTGAAAACAGGGGCAAGGCCGAACTGCTATTGTGCATGATCATTGTGGCTCTCTGACATAGTCTACAATGGAGAGAAAAACAAAAAAAAATCAAGTGAATGAGTGCAGGTGATAAATAAAAAAATTGTTCACATACTTATATACATAACCTTTAGCACTTTGAAAGATGTCTTCAAAAGCACAGTTGCCTGTGATACAGTCCAGGTCAAACACATACGTGATAGCATTCAGCTTACAGCTGTGAATAATCAAAGCTCTTTCTAGCAATCACACAGTGTTTTCTCAAAACCATTCAGTAGCAGAAGAGCCAAATTCCCAGGAGAATTTGAACCTTCGATAGCATTAAAATGTCCACTAACTCTTAATTAAAATGCTTCCTACTGGAAGCATGGAACTCTGTATCTGAACAACCTGCTACCTTGAAGCCTTCAAAAACTAAATGCCAGACACATGTGGATACAAATTCTGTGAGACTGAGTCACTGCTGGTCCCCAGAGCTCCCATGGCTCTAGCAAAATGATGCCTCAGACTGCAGTCTCCAGAAATAGCTAACATGGAACAAAAATATTTTTCCACCTTTCCTTAAATTACAGAGATACAGAGATTCAGCATGATTTAACTATATATCAAGCTACTATATCCCTACATTGCTACAAAATAAAAAGATCTTTTCTGCTATATTTCAGCAATCTGATAAGGGTACTAGAAGTTCTCACCGCTGTTTTTTGTGCATGACACTTGTCATTTTGTATCTACATTTTTACACTTGGTTTAAGGATTTTACATGAATGTGTAATGACTTAAAAATGTCTTAGGGGCAATACGTTAAAATTTCCTTTGAAAGTATGGTCTCTAGAGTTGGAGAAAATGTTTAGCAGAAGTATGTCAAAGCACTTATTAAACACTTCAGAAAAAAGAGGAAAAAAAGCATGAAAGGGATTCATAATTAAACTTTAATCCTTTTCCCTAAGTACTTATATAAAATGAAGACATGTTCAGAATACGGATTTGGATTTCCCTTATTTCATTAACTTCTGTGGTCATCTGACTAGATCTGTTGTAATAAATCAATTATATCATCAAGCAGCAAGAATTTTGATGAGAAAATCCATTGCAGATGATAAATGTTGAACAAAATATGCTTTCAAAGGCAAACGTTTGTATTCTTACAGAATCATTTCAGTTAATATATTATGACATTAGAAAATTATGAAAAGCAAAATGCACTGGCACTACAGAAAATATTTAAAGAAAAAGGGATGGTGGTTTTTTTTTTTTTTTTTTTTTTTTTTTTTTTTTTGGTTCTGTATATATTTTGTTGTTCTTTGAAATGCACTTAGTTTTGTCAGCAAGCTGTATGAAGCTGTGATTTTAAACTGTATAGTTCCTCTTAAATATGCATTAAAAAGAACAACAATTTGTTACTTTAGTTCAAGTACAGTAATTACATAAACCATATTTTGGTGTCAAGGACATAGTAACTTTTCTGATTTATTAATAAAAAGAAAATCTTGCAATGTTACTGCAGAGTCTAATTCAATCTACATTGAAAGTGTTCATTATCATCATGACACATATATAACAAAAATACAATACCAAAACATAATAACAAAATAATAACTGTACATATTGCTCTGGGAAACACAGAATTAAATTCAACTTCTTTCTAGATAGAAAGATGGAAGTTTGAAACTAAAATTATCTTTCATCAAAAAAGCTGACATTCCAAATCCAATTTTCATTGGAAAGGAAATGTGCACGCTTGCATGAAAATTCAGACAAACAGACGTTCTAAAAACTTGTCAATTTGTAAATGAAATTAAATCAGAATTTGGTTTTTGAATTTCTTTTCAACATTGAAATATTGTGGAATATTTCATAAAAAACTATATAGTATCCTAAAATGTCTTCTCAAGTGAAAACTCTATTTTCTGAAGGAAAATAGTGACATTTTTTCGCAGTTTGTTTATTGTTTGGAAAAAAAGACTGAGAAGATCTGAATTGGCTTCATAGGCTTCATAGGAAGGAAAAAGTAAAAATGAAATAAAGAATTAACCATGTAACAGAAATAACAACGGGCAACCTGCACTTATTTGTTTTTCATTAACTAATTTTAAAAACCCAGGAAGTAAGAGCAAAAGCACAAGACTTTAACTAATCACAAAGATTACACTGCCATCACATAAAATGACGATTAAAACTTATGTGTTGTAAAAACGAATATTAATCTTTTAGCAAAATGTATTAAACTAATTAGAATTCCCCACATTCCCACTCTGATTTTCACAGACCTAGCTAAGAATAGAGAGTCTATCACTCTGCCTGTGTTAAATGTTGCAGTATAGGTGACTATCTTGATGCATATTTGGCTTTTCCTATGGCTGTCACCCACTTGGTCATGTCTGCTGATTTAAACTTTGTGGGCAATGTTTGTACAGGATTTAGAACAATCAGAATAACAACTCCTACCAGCTTAAAGTAAGGTATACCAAATGTCATAACAGACAGCATTCAACACATTGAAGATTGGTCCTGAGTTTGTACCTGCTGCATAAAAATGCATATTTTGCATCAAATACATAATTAATGCAGTACTTAGGGCATAACAGGATAAAGTGGGAGAGGAAAAGTGGCTCATGCAAGATGCTTGCAAACATGTGAGTGAGTAAGCAGGACAAAGGGAAAGGAAGGCACAAGAAAGATACTTGCCCAAGATGGTAGAAGAAACTCTTTGCTACTGTCATGGGAAATTGTTCCCTATAAATTAGAAGATGGTGCCAGGAAACACACTAGTTTGTGGCATACTTAAATAGTCATTATGTTTTATATTTTGCTATACTTTTTATGCTTTGCATAAAACCTTAAGCTTGTTTTACTCTCCTACTGAAATTCACAAGAATGATTGTGTCTTGGGACCACTAAAAATATGAGTTTTGAAACTGCAGTGCTATCAAAATACTCATGGAATAAGTAGTGCAAATTGCATGACTGTGTTCAAACACCATACACCTCTCCTTGAAAGAACTGTGTTTTTTAATGAAGTGAAGTGGCTAGCAGTTTTAAAGTCAGCTCAGGATTTGCTCTACATTTAACAACAGGTGACTATTTGTTTTTCAAAATTAATAATTTAGTTCACAAAGAAAGTATTTACCAGCTTGGGTTTCAGCATCATTAGACATACAGCTAATACAAAAATGAAATCACGAAGATGGTTCTATAAGGTGAATTGCATTGAGGTCTATTTTAGAAAGTAGCTACAGAGAAATGAACAAGAACATGCCCCATCCTTGTAGACATTCAAGGTCAATCTGGATGGGTCTCCAAGCAACCTGATATAGTCCTTGTTTCTTGCAGGGGAGCTGGACGAGATGATCTTTTTAAGACCCTTCTAACTCAGATTATTCTATGATTCTACAATTGTAGGATATCTAAAACAAAGAGCAGCATTATGCACGTTTCCAAGAACTATCCATGTGCAAGTTTTTGAAAGGAAGGTGTAGAAAAATAACACTAGATAAAAAGTACACTACGGCATGTGAATCATTCTCTGAGGCCCGATCCATCTGTACTGTTATGTGATATCTATGTGGTCATCTTTTTTCTTTGTTCTCAATCAAAAATTTCCACACTTGTCAGACTGTTTTTCACAAGCCACACATACTTTTCTGAAACTATTTTACCATGTTCTTGCCATCTATTAGAAAAGGTGTGAGACACAACATACTTCTTTGCTTCCTCAAGAAGCACTCTGCTTATGGTTTTGGAGCTGGTATAATTCAGGCCACTAAACATAATGTGTTCTACCTTATCCTTATCCTGCTGCTTCAATGACGGTGAACAAGTCAAATTTGCAGTGTCAAACAGACTCATCCCACCTATTATAAAGAGTGAAAGTCTGCAGAAGGCCATTTGCAAAAAGGCAGAAAGAGGTCTGGATGAGAAGCATACTCTTGCTTTTCATTCACTCCTCCTCCAGTTCCCTCATACCTGCTGAAAACACCTTGACCAAGGAAGTTATTGACTGTCATGTAGAATGGCTAGAAAAATGGAGATCTCAAATACTCAGGAATTATAAACCAAAGTATGTGTAAACTCAATGTTCAATAACATATTCTCCTTTGAAGGAGGCACTGAAGTATAATTTAAGTTCACCTAGCTGCTTTCAATGCACAGGTGAAACAAAAACACAGTTCACTTGTGAGCAATCACTTGAACAAACAATGGAAATGTTCTTGCCAATTATTTATGGGTCAGTGTGGATGAGAAATAGAATCAGTGTAAAGTATTCTTGCAGTGTTTTACATAGGAACTAGGCATATTTTCTACAGCTGTCAGAGAGGATGAAGTCACAACAATATATGCATAATAATATACATAATATATGTATATGTGTACAATATAAGTATGGCAGAGAGCTGAGTTATTATATTTGCCAAATATATTCTAGAAATAATTAATTTTATAGAGTGCAGACACTTTCACTGACATTGGGGCAGTGAGCATAGGATAAAGGCCATTAAGCATGCCCTCAACACACATACACGGGTAAAAACTCTACAAGGTACATCCAACATAATCAAGTATTGATTGAGAAGCCTGAAAGATAATTTTTGATGATGATAATATTTCATTGCTTTTTCAAGTAAAGCAATGCAAGCTAGTATCTTGTAATAGATGAGAAAGGACCTGGGAGAAGATGTTGACAAAGGAATAAAGGAAACAAAGCTTTCATTAAAGATTAAAAAAATGGTATCCCTTACAGCTGATGGTAGAAATAGCAGTATTACTAAGAAATAGCAATAAAATTGTTGACAATTCAGTAGTGCTTCACATTTTCAATACGTAATTAAATCATAAACAAACCTAAGTGTTATTGTTGGAAGTCCAAGACAGCTGCAGTTTGCAAATAAATTTGTAAAACTAATGTATAAATGCACTATCACTATATCCAATTAAACAATTGAGAATTCTGTTTAACTGCAGAAACTGAAATGCAGTATCAATGTAAATTAGCTAATAAATACTTTCAGAAATATCAAGTCACTATGAGGAAACCTCGGAA